TAGGCCAAGAGATGGATGTAAACAAAACTGCCTCGTTTCAATTCCTGGTTCATCTGAGAAACAAGAACTAGTAAAAATGATAATACATTTACCATTGAATACGCTTCCTGAAAAGTTTATAAAAGATATAAATGCTTTAGTACTAACTCCGTTATTAACTGAAGAAAAAATACTTGATTGGGATTTGGGATATGCTATGACTATGCATACTAGTCAAGGGATGATGCTTAAAGCACCACAATGAGTTTGGGTTATCGATAAACATTTGGCGTGAGATAATCTAATTTATTTAGCAGTTGGTCGCATAGAATATTTGAGCTAGCTAATTCGGATAGAAGGTCTTCCATTACTTCCTGAGATTGAGGAAGCAAAAAATAAGAAAGCAATTGAGCGATCCCTAAGACCATTTATTTTTGGAAAACTCGTAAGATATATGGATCAAGATAAGAAAAAAGGTTGTGAATTTAACTTATTTGTTGATTATATCCTTGTATTAAAAGATTTGCAAAAAAATAATTGTAAATTATGCCTCAATAAAATGTTGTGGGAATGGGATGAAGCTGGAAATCCTGATCAATGAACGATTGATCAAATTGATAATAAACTAGGATATATAAAAGGTAATGTACGTCTTACTTGCTTGGAATGTAATCGGAATCATCGAGTCTGACTCACTCAATGAGACCAGAGCATTAGCAATTATGTGAGCATAATATGGGATATAAAATTTTTTTGATTAATTATCTTGATATCTTATACCGAATTATTTATTACTACCACTTGCCTTTATTCAAAATATATTTGGAAGGGTGTATCGAAGTTACGGTCATCGAATGTATAGGATAACACAAAAACGAATAAATTCAGTTAAAGTAATCCAGTATGTAGTAATTAAATGGCTTTATCGAGTTGATAGACCATTTATGAAATATGCTCAAGATCAGTATTATCAAAATGCCAATAAACTTGAAAATTATATACAGTGCCAGGCTAGCGATACCTAATTATTAGGCTTTATAGCGGAGCTAGTGTATCTGATACATATTAATGCATCTGATCTTAAAGTAAGTAAATTTTTTAATTGTTATATAAAGCACAATATAGATAATCTGATTTTTTTACTTATTATGTAGCACATTTCTATTGCCCTTGATCAAAGCATATGTTTGAAATAACATGGATGCAGAGTTAATTATAGAAGGTTAACGTGGTATTAGCTGATCAAAATTAATCGTGTACAGACTAATCATAGCAGAATGAATATTGTTTCAGATAAATAATTCCTGTAATAGATCTTTATCATATTTTCTTTCACTCGAATTTTCCAGCATTTACTCAACATTGGATTCTTGAAATATAGAATACATAATTGGCCTATATATCAAAGTTATTACAGAATTCTCTACAATGAAAGAAATAATCTGCAAATGATCTGTTAATAACATGAAATAAATTTGTTAATGATTGATACAAAATAACTATGACGTTAAAATACTAAAATTGTCTAATCAAAATTAGGTTATATTACACAAATCAAGTTCTAAATAAGATCGGATATCACTCTACTTTGTTATCCAGTCTATGACTTTTTGATCTGGAACTTTACCTTTATTTTTCAATGACGAATCAACATTTTTCTAGTAAGTTCGAGCCTTTACATGAAATAATTGATCGCATAACTATTAATCTATAAAAAAAGAGATTTTTCTTTCATACAACTACTTCTACAAAATTAAAAAAAAATAAAGAATCACAATATAATTAATAAAAGTTTATACTGGTAAAAGCAAATTCATTAAAAATAAAGGTATCTTCGCTTGAAATTGAATGTCTATGTGTTTTCTATGATTAATTTTCTAATCAGATTTTCTTTTCTTATGCAAATGCATTTATTCAACATTTCAGAAAATATACCTTTTATAGCATTAACTACTTTGTTTTTCCTCCTCGTAACAATATTCCCCGATCATGCTCTTCTGTGTATAGAAATCTTTGGTATGTGTTTCTTTTTGTACTATGTGCAAAAGCTTACACAGAGATCAGCAAAATCAAAACTGAAATCAATGATGAACTCACCACAAAAATTAATTCTCGCTATGCCAACTACATGTCAGAGGTGCAGAATATCATTACCATTATCAACGATGTGTATGAGAAATATAATAAAATCAAACAGGTTCTAAAAACCTATCACAATAATTTTAATCAAATCATTAATGAATTCGAAACAATCAAAAGAACTATCATGACACACCAAAATAAAATCAATCAACGATACTCTTTTATCCAAAGCATGAGCAGAAGAGGATCTGATCAACAAAGTGAAACATCATCATCATCCATATGATCATCATTTTCTATACGATCATCAAATTCTACAGGATCTGGTCGAATTCAATATTCAAATATTAGCTCAACCATCTGGG